TTAGAGGCTCAGTTTAGGGAAGTTCCCTTCACGCCCTCAGCCTGGGTTCTTTGTACACCACCTCCCACCCTTCATAAAAGCTGGGTATGATGACACAGGAGTCTGACCCATTTGAGGCCAGCCTGGGCAACATAGCAAGACCCTGTCTCAAACATCACACATAACTCTCATATAGTACTTCCTAGACTGAGAGCAAGTCAAGGAGAAATATAAAATGTAAAACAAGTTTGAGCTTGCAAAACAGATCAACAGATGAGGACGCCTTCCTCCAAGCGTGGTGACCTGAGTTCAGTCCCTGGAACTCATACGGTGGAAGGGGGAAATGCCCATAAGTTGTCTTCTAACTCACACCCGTGTGCCCCCAGCACACAATAAAAATTAAGATAGACTCACTAACCACCACTAGTCCTTTTAACCCGGATTCAGTGTTGAGCCCATCAGTCAGCTCTCATGGTGGCAGTGGCAACCGTGCTACGTGTGGTGCTATCAGTTTCTACTGTTTCGAGCTACTATTGAGGTCATCAATTCAGAGGAAGCCACAGGGCAGCCTCAAGTGGCTCCTGACCATCATTCAAGCTAAGGGCTTGTCTGTGTCTTGTAGCCCTAGCACTGGAGGGAGGCAGCTGACTCAGTCCCAACAGCCTTGCATGGTCATGTTAGGACCTTTCTGGGAAGCTCAGGTGTGTGGAGTTGAGGGTGGTCCCCTGTGGCCTGGGCCGTATCCAGATTGCCACTAGGCTGAGAGAGGAGCCAGGGACAGACTCCTGTACATCCTGCCCAGGGAGTATCACTTGTTTTCTTTTACAGTAAAGAGAGGAAAAAAGCCGGAGGGGGCGTGGGGGCGGCAGCCAGACACCCCATCTGGCCTCCTGTCCTTAGAAGCTGAACAAGCTTGATTTCACATACTGGAGTTAGGTACTAAAGGGTGCTATGGCAGAGCTGGGACACATGGGTTGCTCTGATCTATACTAAGGAGCCATTGGGCCTCAGCCTGGGAAGAGCCTCTCCAGGTGCAGCTGAGGTGGCTATGGGAGGCAGAGATTTCATGTGGCAGGCTAGGGTGGCCCCTTCCAGGAAGCCGTCCCTGATGCTGAGCTGGGCACTGTTGTGAGATACTTGATTACACTGTGTAAAGATGTGTCACTGTGATTGGTTTAATAAAAAGCTAAACAGCCAATAGCTAGGCAGGAGGTATAGGCGGGACTTCTGGACAGAGAGCTCTGAGAAGAAGAAAGGGCCAGCTGGAGGCTAAGGAAGCAGGACACGCAGGGGAGAGGTAACACATACATAGATAAATATAAATGGGTTAATTTTTAAGTTATAAGAGCTAGTTAGGCCGGGCAGTGGTGGCGCACGCCTTTAATCTCAGTACTCGGAAGGCAGAGCCAGGCGGATCTCCATGAGTTCGAGGCTAGCCTGGGCTACCAAGCGAGTTCCAGGTAAGGCGCAAAGCTACACAGAGAAACCCTGTCTCACAAAACCAAAAAAAAAAAAAAAAAGAGCTAGTTAGAAACAAACCTAAGCTAAGACTAAGCTTTCATAATTAATAAGAAGTCTCCATGTCATTATTTGGGAACTGGTAGGACAGAAAAAGACTCATTACATTTCATACAGACAGAGAATTCATGCCAGCTGTTACTGCTGCAGTCATGACATGGTCCGTTCCTCAGGTACTCACAACAGTCGGCTGCTGCTCCAGGAGATTTCAGAAAGTGAGCTCAGCAATTTCCAAGAGCTGAGGCAGTAAATGCAGCTCCCACCCTGCCAGCATGAGGCTAGGCACTCAGGGAACTGATGGGAGCAGAGGACCTAGCTACCGCCTAGTGATTTCAGCTTTGGCTCACATGGCCAGAGAATGCTGGGGACACTTAGTAAAGCTAAGTCCAATCCTGAAAAAAAAAATCACTAAATAGATACAGAATGTTTAAAAATGTCCCTGATGCTAAAGAAAAAACAAAACTGGATATAGACAGTCATAGAAAAAAATAGTTTAAAGATAATAAAGTGAAGTCTTTAAAGAAAGAGGAAAATAATAATTTTTTTTAAAGCCATGTTAAGGATGAGAAATACACAGGGTGTCTGGATCCTGTGTGGTGCTTTGTTGACTTTGAATTTTTTGAATGCTGATGAGCAAATGACAGCTGCTGAGAGACACGGGATTATGAAAGGGACTGCTGGATTAAACCAGCCTAGATACTTTTGAGATGTCGTGGCTTCAGAATGAAAGTTGAAAAATGTGTTGTGTTGGGGAGAGATTGTGCTTTTGTCTCCACAGCAAATGAAAGGCTATGGATTCCTTCAGAGTTAATCGAGATTGGATTTGACTGGGGAAGACCTCCTGAAAAGGAACAAAAGAAAAACTACAAGACAGGTGAGGTACCAGCTGATCCTTTGACCTGGGAACAGCCCTGAGACTGGATGAGACATGATAAATCTTGTTGGCTACGGAGTCTTCATGACTTGTTACATGCATCCTTTCATAAGGCATGGATAGAGATTTATATTACATTTGGTTATACAGTCCAAACAAACTAAAAAAGTTAACAAATGCCTTTTACCTGCTCAAACATAGAACAAAAAGTATGATCTTTAACTGACTTGTGCACACTGTACATTCCATACTGTGTTGATGCAGACATACAAATTACCTTTAAAAGTCTGTGTGTTTTCAGAGAGGGGGGGAAGGGACCAGATACCAATAAAGACAAGTAGCCCAGGTGATCCAGCCTCTCAGAATTGTCAGAACAACTTCAAGGCTGTTGACGGAGATGGTCCAGCCTCACAGACTATTCTAGCCAGGACTGCAGGTAAGCCTTGAGCTTTCCCATTCCACAGACTGGACAAAAAAAAATGTTAGCACTAGTTTTCCCAGGACTTGACCATTATCTCAATTTTCTCAGGTCCTCTAAAGATGCCATTGCACACAGACAACAGGAAGCAGTCTAGAGAACAAGACGCCCACATTCCCAAGAGGTGGGGTGGGTGTTTTTTTGGTAATTTGGTGGGTTATGAATGTTTGTCATCGTTTGGGAGGGGGAATATAGGATTAAAAAGACACTATGAACTTCAAATATTTTACATTGGTATGGATTTTAGTATATTGATACAAGTTTAAAGTTATTTTTGTTATAATCTATGTAGGTTTCTACTCTTGTTTGGGGTATTGTGCTTATGCAGCTCATTTTAAAATGTAATGTATAATTAAGAAATGCAGATTAGAAGTTAGTCATCTATAACAATAAAACTTGTAGTCATATTAGGTATGTTTTCAAGGTTAAACAGATATTTTAGGTAGATAGGTGATCTTGAAATGTTTCCAAGACCTACAGAATATAACCTTTAAAGTGTTTTAATAAGGTTTTTCATGACAGTGAGATACATCTGCTCCTGGTAGCACCAATTTACTTCAAAAGATGATGGACATCAAAGAGCCTCCATATGGAGTTTGCTTTTAATGTAGCCAAGTTAGCCACTGGGCAAAGAAACTGCCAAACTGGACAAGTGGGACACAAAAGAAAGCAACTGCCTAACTTTGACAAGACAAAGTAGGGCAGTCCTTCAAAATTCCTGCTTTACAGAAAAGTCTGTCAGATATTCTAGGCCTGGAGGCCCAAGATGGATGCCCCAGCATTGCAGAGGAACCTGGGGTGACTGTCCAGGCAGCCAGGTGTTTCTGTCATTTCTATAGTTTTGGAAGTTGTTTCCTTGACACCTCTTGTTTACTCAGGTAACATTATATCCTTCTCAGGTCTCTGATGGAGTTGAAGATGATACAGTTATAGTTTTCCTTGTGTTTACGCAGGTAACATTATGTCCTTCTCAGGTCTCTGATAGAGTTGAAGATGATACAGTTCTAGTTTTCCTTGTTACCAAATTCGGAAAAGAAACTCACAAAAGAGTTATAAAGTATATAAGGTTGAGAGACATGCAAGCTTACATTGTTTATCTAAGAAAATGTTTTGAAGTCTAGATAGATATAAGTTATGATAAAAATAGTTTAGGTATAAAACTTTGAACTCATCAAGATAAGATAGATAATAGAATAATTTCTCAAAATTTGCCAAATACAAATGGACTGGATATTGTAAATGTTAATTCTTACCTTATAATTGTCCTTATTGTATATAGTTTTACTATGTTACACTTAAAACCTTTTCCTTTTTATATAGACAAAATAGGGGGAAATATTGCTAGATATTTGATTACACTGTGTAAAGATATGTCACTGTGATTGGTTTAATAAAAAGCTAAATGGCCACTGGGCAGTGGTGGCGCACGCCTTTAATCCCAGCACTCAGGAGGCAGAGGCACTCTGTGAGTTCGAGGCCAGCCTGGGCTACCGAGTTCCAGGAAAGACGCAAAGCTACACAAAGAAACCCTCTCTCAAAAACCATAAGAAAAAAAAAAAAAAGCTAAATGGCCAATAGCTAGGCAGGAGGTATAGGCGAGGCTTCTGGACAGAGAGAGTTTTGGGAAGAAAAAAGGGCAAGTCAGCAGCCAGATGCAGAGGAAGCAGGGCATGCAGGAGAGGTAAAAGCCTTGAGCCATGTGGCAACATTAATAGAAATGGGCTAATTTAAGTTATAAGAGCTAGTTAGAAACAACGCTAAGCTAAGGCTGAGCTTTCATGTTAATAGTAAGTCTCCATGTCCTGATCTGGGAGCTGGCAGGATAGAGAGACTTGTCACAGGGCACACACTAGTTGCCCAGGTCATTGGATATCTCCACTCATACCTTTCCTCTACCAGGGGACCCATGTCCCCGCCACAGGCCTCTGATTCCTAGAATGACAGTCAATACTTGCTAAAGGGCATGTTTGTGATTTTACCTTAAGTAATGCCCATGCCTCCATTTACCACCATGTGGAACCAGGAAGGCTTCAATGTACCCTTGATCTGCTCAAGTCATGTGACCAGGTCCAAGAACACAGACCATAGCCATTGAATCCAGGGTAAGGAAGGAAATTAAGTCCTTTGTACCATGCAGAGAGGAGCCTTGCACACTTAGAAAACAAGACTTTATTCCTTTAGAGGGTCCTGTACAACAGTGACATCCAGCTGGAGGGCACAGTCTGGGTGGACCCAAACTGGTTACACTCTATCTGGTGTCAAGACCAGGGGCACAGGCACCAAGTAAGAATGCCCAGAAAAGATGTACTGGGAAGTGGAGCAATCCCACACTGTGCTCTCTTGGGCCCTCTGCCCACCCTGCCTACCCACCATTGGGAATCCTGGCTGGCAGTAGTGAGCCAGACATGGGCTGACCCCGCTCCCCATTTTGCAGACAGGTAGCGAGAGGCCCAGGGATGAGAAGACTTCCTCTTGCCACAGCTGTCACACAATTTCACTGTGGAGACACTGAGGCCAGCAGCCTATCTGCTCCCCATGCAGGACCCGCATGGGCAGGATCCTCAACAGGTTTGGTGCCAGGTCCCCAGCCCCCATCTGCAGTTGAAGGCCAGCAACTGAGAATCGCCAGGGACACTCTACACTGTCCTCTGCCCCCCTAATGTTAAGAGGTGGCCAAGTATCTTCTTGGGACTGTATGGATGGAGGAGTTGGGGAATGGGTGGGTCTTTGGCCACCTTGTTACAGTTGGCTCAGGAGAGAGCCTGGAGTGTAGGACTTGGGAGATTCTTCTTGGTAGTGTTGTCTGCAGAGTGTAGACTTAGCCAGGCTTGACCTTCCCCAATGTACCATGTATGAGGAAGAGTCCCCATTTTACAGCTAAGAAAATAGGAGGTCAGTGGGGTATAGCCTAGCTGGTGTCACCAGCCAAGGAGCAAGGAGACTGGCTGAGGAGCCACATTATCTGTGTCAAGTTTCAGCAACGTGGCCCTGGGGATGTTGGTGAGATAGCCAGCATCACAGACTGGAAGGCTGGGCCAGAGCAGGTCCGGCAGCGGTGGCAGGGGAGCCCGGAACTGCCTCACTGTCTAGCTGGGCCTCCGCACCCCGGGTATATGTAAGCACCACAGTGACTGTGGCAAAGGTGGCAGCATTGACTGGGAAAGCACGCAACAGTGTGGAGGCCAGCCCTCGTGTGAAGACTCGCCAGCCCTCAGCCTGGTAGCTTTGCCGCATGCAGTCGACAATGCCGTGGTAGCGAGGGGCTCCTCGCAGCCCATCGGCTTGCAGTCGTGACTTAACCACGTCCATAGGATAGGTGGAGAGCCAGGATGTGATGCCTGACGTGCCCCCCGCCAGCAGCAGCTTGGGCACCAGCAGGCGGTCATCCGGCTCACAGCCCATGGCGCGCGTCAGTACGTCGTAGGTGAGGAAGTAGACACCAAAGCTAGGCGTCTCGCGCAGAAGGGTGGACACCATGCCTCGGTTGATGCCACGCAGGCCCTCGTGCCGGTAAATCTGTACCAGGCAGTCCAGGGAGCCCTTGTAGGTTCGAGCAGGGCCCACATCCTGCAGCTGCAGCCTTGTCTTGGCCAGTTCCATGGGGCAGCAGATGACACACTGAATGGCACCGGCTGCTGCGCCAGCCAGGAACTGATTGAGTGGGGAGTCTTGACCCAGGGCCCTAAGGGTGTTGCCTTGCACCCCAAACACCAGGGCATTGATAAAGGTGAGCCCCATTAGTGGTGAGCCCAGGCCTTTATACAGGCCCAGCACCTGCAGAGACAGAAATGCCATCAGGATGAGGGGTGCCGCCCGGCTTGCATTGCCCAGCCACTCTCCTCAGGCCCTCCATACCCAAGTGGCAGCCCTAACCACCTGGCTGCTCATAGGCAGCATGCAGAATTCTGTTAGATGCAGAGTCCTCAATCAATCAACTCACACACCCATGGTCCCTCATGAGTACCCGGATGACCTTTCCCGGGCCTCCGGCCTGGGACGGTAGCACCCTTCGGGTTTGTTCCCCAGCCCTACAACTGCCCTGCCCAGGCACTTACACTCTCCTGCTTGATGATGGCCTGGAAGCAGTGCAGAGTCCCTCGGTACTGGGGCTTCTCCGCGTTCTGTACCTGCAGCCGCACCTGCAGGGGCAGAGCCAGTGAGCGGGGATGGGCGGAGCCAGGGAGCGGAGATGGGCGGGGCCACTGAAGCAATTCCCCTGGCCCGCAGTGCGCAAGGCTGGCAGACAAGTTAACTTTCTGTGAAACTGGGATTCCAGAGTGCGGCCGGGTTGGGTCTTTGAGAGCTAACAGCTACAAGGACAGTCAGCTGCAGATGGGCTGGGAGTCCCCAAGACGAGTGGAGGAAAGGTCTCTCGTGTGCAGACCAGCTCTTGGGCCAAACCTTGTTCAGGTGACACTTGTCCTCCCATATGAGGCTGAGGTCAAAGGGGAATCCCAGCCTGGTGTCCCACCACTAACCTCCATCAGGGTGGGGTACTGGGCCTCCGTTCTGCTCCTGCTTGGTTTCTGCTAGTAGCCCCTTTGACAACTATAACCAGGAGTCATGAGCGGTGACAGCCAGCTGACAGCCTCCCTAGGTACCCATGGCAATAACTCCAGGACCTGGGGCCACTGCCAGGCCCAGTGGCCCAGAACCTCTTCCACGTCAAAGCACTCTTTGTTGCCTGAGAGCTTATCTGCTCCTGATACGCTGGCTTCATGGTGGCATGAGGAGAGGGGCGTATCCTGAACTTGGAATCCATGTTACTGCTGTGGGGGAAACTAGGTCACATCATGGTCTCAGGAGCTAGGGGGCTCCCTTGACCTGATTCAGAAAGGGTCAGTCATGGGCTAGGGTTGTAGCTCGGTGACAGAGCTACACTAGTTTACCTAGCATGTGCAAAGGGCTGGTGAGGCAGCTCAGTGATTAAAAGCACTGGTTGCTCTTTGAGAGGATCCAGCATCAATTCTAGATGCCCACTCTGTGGCTCAAATCTTCTGTGACTCCAGTTCCAGGGGATCCAATGCCCTCTTCTGGCCTCTGTGGGCATCAGGCACACACATGGTACACATACACACATACATACAAAATACCCATACACGCTAAAAAAACAAACAGCTTGTTTAATGGCCAGTTTGCTTGAATGCCAATGGCCCAACCATAGTTAGGGGTTGGAATGTATACAAATTAGTTTTCTGAAAGATCACTTTCCAGGTATCCATGGGCAAGGGAGTGACTCCCGTGGCTGAATAACTGCAGAAGGGTACTCAGGGGCTCAGCAGCTCAGAGGAGCTGGGGCTACCAGGACAAAAGTGCTTTCTTGCCTGAGGGGCCTGCTTCAGAATCTAGTACCTGTCAAGTCGGCAGCCGCCACAATGCCAGGTTGAGGAAGTGAATCCATGGCTCTTATTGGCTGGACACAGCTGTGGGAGGTGTTTGAGACATTTGACCACAAGTTATAAACACAATGATATGTGAATACGGCCAGGCTCGTTGTGATTGGGAAAAGGCATCCAGACAGAAAGTGGGCACGGCAGGTCGCCTTGTGGACAGGGTGTATCAGGGCCTCGTTCTTGCAAACCTATGACTGGAATTCATGGGCCACTGCTTGCCCAGAGTCTGCTCTCCAGCCTTCTCCCCAGGGATACCAGGTGACAGGTCTATGCTGTCTCGAGCCCGCATTAACCTATTAACGTGACTCAAGTTATCCTGGCGCTCAATGAACAACCGGCCTTAGTGACCTCATCCACCCCCTCACCTCACAGATGCCTGGACCAAGGACGGAGCTTTGTAAGGTCAAAGACAGCGCACAAGGCCAGGCCCTTACACCCACACAGGAAGAAATCCCACCTTTGGATTAATGAGCTCCTTTCCTTGCCAACAAACACCTGGTTCACTGAAGACAAAAAAAAAAAAAAGGAAGAACCAGGAAGTGAAACTCAGCCCAGGCTGATGTATCCAGCCTCCAGCTTTTCCCTTACACGAGTGGGAAAGGAGCCTGGCTCAGAGCTTGAACCAAGTACAGATCTGGCCCTAGGGCCCTGCCGCTCACAGGGCCAATGGGCACCTGGAAAACTGCCAAGGCAGGGTCCTGATGGGACTGGCTTGAGCACCTACAACTCCAGCCACAGGGGAAGCTTCCACGGGGCATTTCCACCAGAGGATGTGCGTCTGTCTCCTTGACCTCTGTTCTGGGACCCATAGAACCCGGAGCTCCCGTTAATCAAGGCGTGATTCGAGAGGTACCTGCCCCAGGGCTTCCATGTTCAGAGCCTTGGCCATTTGAAAGTGGTGTTCCTTAGGACCCTGCTGGGTGACACTGCCTTGCAGGTCCATGCCAGCACTCAAAAGTCATGACAAGCACCGATCCATAAAGACCAGGAGAGAAATACCCTCAAGTTTATTTCAGGTGTGTGTTTCTGATGTGGTCTTGCTATACAGCTCAGGCTGGCCTCAAACGTGTGGTCCTCCTGCCTTAGCCTCCCAATGCCGCCACCTTAGGGTCTGCTACCACACCCAGCTGTCGAGGCAGGCTTTTTTGTTTTTGTTTTTGTTTTGTTTTCGAGACAGGGTTTCTCTGTGTAGCTTTGCGCCTTTCCTGGAACTCACTCTGTAGCCCAGGCTGGCCTCAAACTCACAGAGATCCGCCTGCCTCTGCCTCCTGAGTGCTGGGATTAAAGGTGGAGGCACGCTTTTCTATTACAAGCTGGCCTCAAATTCTCAATTCCCCAGGGCTGGAATTTCAGGTGTGCTATACCTACCACACCTGGCCCAGGAGGGTTTGATTCCTTGTAGTTCTGCCTTTTCTTTCAGGAAGTTGTTAGGGGTGGGGCCAAAGAGATGGAGTTAACAGCAGTTAGTAGCACTGGCTGATCTCCCAGAAGATCTGGGTTCAATTCCCAGCACCTACATAGCTGCTCCCAACCACCTGAAACTCCAGTTCCACCAGGCACACACAAGACGCACAGACATACGTGCAGACAAAACATGTAAAATAATAATAATTCAAAGAAGATGCTAGGGGAGCTATACATCACAACCAGGTGAGCTTTCTTTCTCCAGCTGATGAGAAGAAACCCGTCCATCAACACCTCAGTCTCTGCCTGCCAAGTAAAGCAGAACTTGTGAGTTCGACATGCAGTTCAGCCTCCGTGGGAGATGCATTGCCCAGGAGGAAGGGTCCGTCAGTGTGTTCAGTGAGGGACAGCTGCCCTACCTCCATTCAAAACCTGAAGGATGACCTTTACTGTGTTCCTGGGGCAGAAGCCCTGCAGGTCTGTCCCAACCTGTCTGTACCTCCACAAGAAACTCACCTTGACTGTGTCAAAAGGGTGTCCCACAAGCACACCTGCCACACCTAGAAGAAAAAGGTACCTGTGACCAAGTGCCTCAGAACTTTGCAGAATCTTGGGGGGATAGATGGGAGAGTGAGGTTCTGGCAAGGAAGGATGGACAGGCATGACACATGGGAAGGGCACATTGACCAGGTCCCTGTGGGACCCTGGGCCCATCCCAGGAATTCCTGTAACCTCGCCTCTGGTAACAAGGGGCAGCCAGCATCTGCTCGACTCAAAGCTGTGTCCTCTGCCTTCCCCTGCAGCTCCCTGAGGTGTTATGTCCCCTGGGAACTATACATCACCGTCCCAAAGCCTGACACCACAGGAGGCTCAGGGGATGTTGGAGTCAGAGGTTAGCCTGTACTGGGATCTGAACCAGGGATGTTGGAGTCA